AATATAAAATCATTCATTTTATCGTAATATTTGTCAATATTATTGTTTTACTGCATTTATGACTAAATAAATGCAGCCTTGGTGAGTATAGGCTTCTTTAAAGGGATACTTCACCCAAAAATGAAAATTAAGTCATTAATTACTCACCCCATGCTGTACCAACGACGAGAGAGGCCTGAGACGAGACTTCAAGAGATTTCCACGACGCATGCGTGAGAATTGCGATCTCCTTCAACTACTTCAGTTCAGTTCTCGCGCATGTGTCGTGGAAATCTCTTGAACTCTCGTCTCAGGCCTACAAGGGAGAAAAGGAACAGTCGAATAAAGTCGTTATTTTTGTTTGTTTCTTCGCACAAAAAGTATTTGCGTCGCTTGATAAACTTATACTTGAGCCACTGTAGTCACATGGAATATTTCAACATTTTCTTCAATTACTTTCTGGGCCGTCAAGTTTCAATCCCTTAGGAGCCTATGTGGTTGTGATCCACCTCTCAAATTTACGGGGTTGATACAGCATGGGGGTGAGTAAACTAATTAATGACTTCATTTTCATTTTTGGGTGAACTAACCCTTTAAAATGCATTTAAAAAAATGATAAACCCCAAACTTTTGAACGGTAACGTACATGGACATGACGTATTGATTTGAGTCTGAATTACTTTATAATGTGAGAAGAAAGAGACAGCAGAGTTATACAAAAGTCAAGATGCCAGCAAAGTGTAGGTGATAACTGCCAAGGATAATATTGAACAGTCTAAAACATTTTAGCAGTTATTGAAAAAATAGTTTCCCTCTAGTCAGATTCATTTAACACTGTAACTGTAATCCATTTGTAAAGACGGGAGATATTCATCTAACCCATTTGAAGGGTTTTTCTCAGGAGGTTCCCATCGACCTCATTTTCTCAGCCCTTCTCAGAAGGTTCCTGGCATGTACTGTACGCAGTCTGTCCGAACAGACAGTTTCTTTAGAAGGATGGGACTTAAGAAGGTCAGCATTGGTCCAGAAAAATTATACTGCAGCTTAAATAAATTCTCCAGCTTACTTTTTAAATGTAAATGCATTGCCAGACATCCAAACACCAAAAGATCTAATAATATAATGTGACTGGCATTGATCAAATATTGGGTTTCAGTTTCTTTGCCTCTGGGCTGATAATAATGACATCCGGTTGAAGAGCATATTCTGGTCTGTTTGTGAATTGAAGATGAATCCTGTCAAATGAAGCTTAAGGTAATCAAACATTGAAGAGCTGACATGATCACTGAATCGAAGGCAGAAACACTCAGACTACCTAACAGCTTGTCTCCTTTAGCTCTCCCTGGAGCTGTTCAAAATGTCAGTGGGATTAGTATTAAAATAATGATTAAATGAGAGGATGACGTTAAACCTTGTATTGTGATTGCTGTCGTGGGATTGATCTACAGAGTTAGGTCAATGCAGCCAGTCATTTCATTTTCAATACCCTGCCCTTTCTGTTCAAGTGCAGAAAAATTGAGATGCGAATGGGGTAGCAGTGCTTGGGGACAGACTGAGAGAGAGAGAGAGACAGAGAGAGAGAGAGAGAGAGAGAGAGAGAGAGAGAGTAATAGTGTGCAAGCTTATTTGAAGGGCACTGTGAAGCCATAACCTTTACCTTTCCATAGCATATTAATCAAGGAAAAAGGCAAAGGCTGTAAACTTCTGGCGTCTCGAAGCTGTCAGTTCCCCTCCAGTTGCTAATTGATGAGCTCGTATCCGTGTAGAAGTTTGGCCATCAGTGATCTCCTCCGAGCCAAGACAAGGGAATGTGGCCCGTACACTTCATCAGTCAGAGGACTGCTGAGTTACTGCTGTTCAGGGTGAGATGCTGTGAATACAGTCCAGACTTCCTGGATATTACCACACGGGCCTCTGGGACACTTGATTCGGATTGGTTAATCGTGACATTTTGTGGTCAAGTATTTTTTGTGTAATAAACACTTAACTGTCCAATTAATGGATGCATGTTATTTGGTAGCATGTCATTATCAGCCATTAGCAGAGAGTTTTAATTTAACATCCATTCTGGTGTTATGTAAAATGGTGCATGATCATTTCCCCTATTTTTACATTTAAATCACATTTGCCGTCAATGCTCACTTAAAGTTTATCCTTTAATAAAATCGTTGAATGCAATCTTTAATTCCTAAATATATATCTTTTTTTAGAATAGAATTTCAATATAGGCCATTTAGTGGTAATCGGCCAACATGAACATAATTATTGATTTATAGGCACCAGCCAGAATTTTTATATCAGTGCATCTCTAATTAATTAACTAATTGTCCCAGGCAACTGATTCTCCTACTTAGTTGCGTTAGTTGTATCTCCCTCATGTCACTCTGAAGTCTTTTTCTTCTTACATAATAAAATTGTCTAAATTCGAATTAATATTTAATGTCCATTTATTTATTTCTATGGTAAGTTGCCATGTAATATGTGGCTTTCCAAGCTTCAAGAAAAAAAATATCTAGATGCTGGAATGATGGCTGAGGATCTGATGAGAAATCAGGCTTGGAGCTTTTTGAGTTAGACTAAATTAAAATGGAATGAGGCTGCTTAATCTCCTCAACTTGGCACCTTCTTTCTCACTCTCATTCTATGTTACTTTCAGTTTTACACCCCATGTCTTTTTAAAGAATGTCTTTTTAGCACTCTCTCACAATTCTTTCTTTTTAAACTATTGATGTCATCTCACCAACGTCAGCTTCTGACTTTCCTTTCGAAAGAAGTATACTTTAAGTACATTCTATGAAGTATACTTAATTAACATTCAAGTATTTTAAGTATATTTTATGTAGTAAATATACTAATATCAGCGTACTAACTTGTAAGTGTACTCTTTCAATACTGCTAGGGACTAAATTGGCCCACTTTTCATTTGACTAAATGTTACAGTTAAATAAGTATAAAGGTTGTTTTTAGACTTTTTTTTGTATTTTATGTATACTACTTTGTTCCTATTTAGGTATTATTTTTTTATACTTGAAATACCTCTAACTGTACATCAACTCTTTCCATTTTAAAAACATGCATCCTTTTTTATCAACACTTGAATGTTAAGTTTCATAAAAAAGCACCTGAGAAAATTGCATTTTGATCAAAGACTACACCGAATCAGATTCAGAACAATGACAAAAACACAGATGTAGTAGATCCATCAACACTCTCAACAATTATTACCTCTGCCTGAGACCTATTATGCCCCTTTTTACAAGATGTAATATTGGTCTCAGGTGTCCCAGCATGTATTTGTGAAGTTTCAGCTCAAAATACCACACAGTTAATTTATTATAACCATTTGAAAATGTCATTTTTGGGGCCTGTTTAAAAATGAGCTGTTTTGGTCTATACGACCTTAAATGCAAATGAGCTGCATATCCACGCCCTGCCTTTGGATGAGGGCGTCATTTGCATACATATGGCAGTCGGTAAGCTGAAGGACTGAGAGAGTGAGAGACCCGCTGTTTTCATTCAGCCGTACGTGTTTGAATCGGAATATATAAATAGTCTCTGATCAGACCCAGATGACGAAGAGACTCCGAATAAACACAAATGAGAATGGACCAGTACGTCTCAGTATGGTTATTTGATACATTTTGATACATAATAGGCGCCCTTTAATTCAGTAACATTTGGCAGTTTTGATATAAATGCCAAAATATTGATATATTTTATATAAATCAGTAGGGCTGAAACGACTAGTCGACATTGTCGACGTTGTCGACAATAAAAAATTGTCAACAAATATCTTTGTTGTCGAGTAGACGTTTGATCTCACTTGACCTAATGTAAGGGCGTGCAATATCACGATTTGACCACTATGGCGCTGTGGAGCTAGAGTGTAATGCAGCCCTTGCAAATGCTATTGCGGTAAAAGGAAAAAACAGCGCGAATTATGACGGAGTGCGAATCCGAACTAGCAAAGTTTGGGAAAGTTTCACAAAACTCCAAACCAACAATGCTGTCGTGTGCAAGACATGCAAGGCGGAACTTGTTTTTCACGGGAGCACAACATGCATGTTGGAGCACTTAAAGAGGAAACATCCCGGCAAAATAGGAGCCGGTGAGAATTGAGTGTTCTCCAGCTGGAGCAAACTAGTGGTATCTCTTAGAGAATGCAATACTACTAATAATAGTAATAATATTATCAATAATAATATAATTACAGTAATGTGATGATTTGTTTTGCATAGAATAATGCTTGATCGAGCTTTGGAGTCAGGGCTGTTTTTATTATTGTAACACTATTAGGTATTATAGTCTTATCACTCGCCTGTATTTTGTTCCATAATCATGAATAAATGTTTGGAAGAATATCATGGCAGTTACTTTTTTTTTCATACTGAAAATTAAAAGGTGAATGAGAATGTCTCTGTCAGCTCAATTATCATGTACAAAAAGATTGTAATTTTATATTTATAATGGTTTGCTGATTAATATTTTACCATTCTTTGTGTAAATGAAGTAAATGACCCTTTTTCCGTTTCAGTTCTAAGAAAAGCAGTGGTCCTGTTAAACAATGCTTAGAGAGCATTTGTATGTGATTTGAGTTGGACTGAAATCTGAAAATTTAAAGAGAATGACCTGTTTAGTTGGCTCAAAGTTCATTAAAACAACTATTTCAAAAGCTGAACTGATTTTCTTTTTTATAGTATAGTAAGAATATGTATAACTCAATGTTTTAACTAATTGAAAAAAGCTGAATAATCGTTTCAACATTAAACTTACCGATTAGCCGGCAAAATAATCTACGATTAGTCGATTAATAGTTCGAGTAATCGGTAGCTTAATCGATTATCAAAATAATCGTTTGTTGCAGCCCTATCTCGCAGTCGTCTGGGGTCCGCAACAAACGCGGGAATGCAGCTTTGATCTGCAAACAAATCCTCTCCCATGTCTCACGCTTAGTTTAGCTTGATATCCCAGTGCCGAATTTCACTTTTATAATCTTTTTTTTTTTTTTTTAAATTTTCTAGCACCAACTGGGCCAGCAGCAGTAACTGATCCTGCTTCCAGGTGGGCTTTCTTTTCCATTTTGGCGAATTCATAATCCACCGTCATTCAACTACATTACTTCAATAGGAGCAACATTTCCTTGCTTTAAGTAGACTATTTAGGCTAATAGGATGTCAATTAACCAAGCAAGTGTTAATGCAAGTGTCGTTTTTCATTATTAGGCAAGTGACGGTTTTCATTGGGGTATTAGGCTACCTTGATTTTAATTTAATTTAATTCACGACTTTCACTGGGGCCTGCACAAACATGTCATTATATATGCATTTCGATGACGTTACTATTATTATTTTGTGTAGCACACAGACTTATTTAGATGTTGTAATTCCGTGATTTGTTGTGTCTGTGTTATATTTCGCATGATGGCCCTGTCATCTAACAACCAATCACTGCAATCATTGCGAGGAAGCTCGTGCATGAGAATTGACGTCATCCATAGCAACGAAGACTCACTCTTAGTTTAGTTGTCATTTTTTCTTACTAAGAGTAGGTCTGAAAGGCGTTATGAATAACTTTCAAGAGTAAACTCTTAGCTAAAATATTTTAGTGCAAATTAGGGGTACTCCTAGTGGTAAGATAAAATTATTTGTGATTACAGCCCCAGGACACCTTCCCTCAAATGCTGCCTTTGTGTTTGCGAGGCAACAAGTCAGCTTTCTAAGCTTTTGGACGCAGCCCTAGAAAGTTATTGACAAGTGATTTGGATCAAGGTTGCAGCTAATTGGATATTGAGGGCAAGAGTTGAAAACCCCTGTCATATAGACATGCTATAGACCCCCCAAAAATTATTTAAAAGCTCAGCCCGGTATACTGTATATTTATCACATTTACTCAATGTTTTATCTTGTAATGGAATATTTTGTTATTAGCCCCCACAAAAACATTTATTCAGTCCATTCAGAAATAAAAGTATTCTGGAAAGTATTGTGTTGAAGATAAAAATGTCTGAAGGGTTATAAATCCAAATGACACTTTCCTGTTATGCATAGCCAATGGGAACTTAGAATGGACTTCGCTGTTTAAACTGAGGCTTTTGATAACTATTGGTTTTCAATTTCAAGGGCACACACGCTCTCTTTTTCGCACACACACAGACACTTGCGATACACTCTCCTGCTGAGCAGCCAGCTGCTTGTTTTGTTAGTGGTGGGCTGTCTGGTTCTGAGCTTGCTGTTCCTGTCCAACAGGCTCCATAATTCAGCTGCTGCTGAAGGTCACCATGCATACATTTACTGTAAACTGTATCTACTAAGATCAGTCCGTGTAGAGGTCAGAGAACTTGAGCTGCTCTGACTGCTGATATGTTCCCTGCTGGGATATGAATGACTCTCAACATAATTTCCTTTCTGCAGACTTACTAGTGATCCACTGCTGTGTTATTCTGAGACTGCTGTAGCAAATGAGAAGTTATGTAATATGTGAAACTAATTATACAGAACCACAAATTCTTGGACAGTTTTTGGAAAAATCCCTCGTAGAAATAACAAGATTTCAAAAACATGGGGTTTACAGTTAGCCATTAAAAGGAAAAACTCAACAACTGTAACTCTGCCAGTTTTATATAAGGGATTAAAAATGGTCGATGGTAGATGCCACAATTACACCGTCTGACACTTTAACGAATATTTCTGATTTCAGGTAGACATTATTTATTAGGTATTTATTTGGATTTTTATATTTTGCGACTTAAGCTGGCCAACAACTGGTCACTATGTATTTCAGAGTGAAGCATGGCATGGTGTTACTTTTACACAAGCAACTCATTAGCTCATATTACTGTCACCATTCAGCTCAGTTTGGTATTGTTTTCATGGACTTTCAGTCTGTTTTCTATGGAAGCTTGTTTCCACCACTGAATAAAAAAAGAAAAAAATAATTGCGATTTTTATCTCACAATTGCGAGATATAAAGTCAGAATTGCGAAATATAAAGTCAGAATAGCGAGATATGTATCTTGCAATTCTGACTTTATATCTTGCAATTCTGACTTTATATCTCACAATTGCGACTTTATATCACGCAATTCTGACTTTATATCACGCAATTCTGACTTTACATCTCGCAATTCTGATTTACATCTCGCAATTCTGAGAAATAAAGTCAGAATTGCGAGATATAAAGTCAGAATTGCGAGATATAAAGTCAGAATTGCGAGATGAAAAGTCAGAATTGCGAGATATAAAGTCAGAATTGAGAGATATAAAGTCAGAACTGCGAGATATAAAGTCAGAATTGCAAGATATAAAGTCAGAATTGCGAGATATAAAGTCAGAATTGTGAGATATAGTCAGAATTGTGAGATATAAAGTCAGAATTGCGAGATATAAAGTCAGAATTGCGTGGTATAAAGTCAGAATTGTGTGATATAAAGTCTGAATTGCGAGATATGAAGTCAGAATTTCGAGATATAAAGTCAGAATTGCGAGATATAAAGTCAGAATTGCGAGATATAAAGTCAAAATCACAGATTTAAATCTCACAATTCTGTCTTTATACCACGCAATTTATAACAAAATTGCGACTTTATATCTAGCAATTCTTACTTTGTGTCTCGCAATTCTGACTTTATATCTCACAATTGCGACTTTATATCACGCAATTCTGACTTTAACAACTCACGATTCTGAGAAATAAAGTCAGAATTGTGAGATAAAAAGTCCCAATTACCTTTTTTATTTTTCATTCTGTGGCGGTAACAAGCTTCCATACTTTTCATTTGTCCCGTGTCTTCCTTGTTCTGGTTACCGTCATTATTACTTTGTTTGTTTCAGCTGTTTGATTAATTATCTTGTTTGATTTTGCTATTTAGGGGCTGTTTACCCGACACTATTTTCAGCTTAACAGTTTTTATGCGCTGTGGCCGCTCATTTACACCGCTACGGTGTTTTGGGTGCCTGAAGATGAAAACTTTAGAAAACAGGTTTCAAAGTACAAGTTTTTTTAAATGGTGTCTGTGTAAACAACAAAATCGCTAATCTCTGAAGACGATTACGTCATGCACATATGTATTACGTGTTCAGTCTATGGTGTTTCTTCGCCATCCAATGGCCTTTAGTCGTTTACACGAATCAGTGTGAATGGGGATTGTTTTGACAATGGTGTCGTCTGTACGCGGAAAACTCAAAGGAAAAACTTCTTTGTTTCAAGCATATCGTTGTCGTGTAAACGTACGCTTAAATTACACCTGTAATTTTGTTTCTTTTTTGCGTGGCCTTTTTGAGTTTTCCCAACAAGTACAACAACAAAAAAGGGATAAATTGCACAGACAGTATATGCTTAATTTACTAAAATCAAAAAACATTTTCTTACAGTGTTCATAGATCCCCATGACAGTGGACTAGCTGAGCTCCAAACCAGCACTTTTTTTTTATCACAGTTAATTTATTTTATTCTTTGTCCGTTCTATCTTGTTCTCTGTCTGTCAATTCACTTTTCTACAAAGCTTTATGTCCTACAGCAACCTTTCTTCTTGCCCTTTTCACACTTCATCTCCATCTCTCCCTCTGTGTATTTGTGTGTAGAATGGACTGTGGTGCTTTCATCCATGAGTGGACATGTTCTAAGAAGGCCTCGTCAGCGTAGCACACACAGGTGCATCCACACACACACACACACACACACACACATGACTACATGCAAAACAGTTTAGACTTCTATTTTAAGCACTCATTTATTGTGAGAATGACCATGAAGACATTTATATCTTGTCCAATCCTATATTACAGCAGTTCCCACAACAATTACCCGCAAGCATTTACATCTATTTAACATGCATGGCCATGGCACCCGCCACGCAAGACAACCACTGGCCATCATCATTAGCTGCCAAGCATGCAATTAGCTAATTATGAAATATAATAGCCTGCTTCTTTCAGCACATCTGACTGTGAGGATGATGGGCTGAGTCCTTAATTTTCTGTTTTAGAGGGATATATATTATGAGCTACACAGTGGTTACATTTGGTCTCCATTGCCTATAAATCCCTATAATGGATGTTCTTCTCTCCGCCCCATTGGTTTTGCCTTAAGAAGTCAGCGGGGATCATAGTTAGTAACAATGAGCCTCTGTGAAACATTTTAAAGGGGGGGTTGACTGCTTTTTTTCTTTGCATGATTGTGTTTATGGGGTGCAATATAACATGTATTCGTGGTTTTTCTTTTTTTAAAAGTCTTATTTTTCATAAACTTCACCTTTATTGTCAGCCGTGCTCTCCTCTGTCCTCGAACGAGCGGTTGACTTCCTGATTCTATGAAACCACTCCCTCAGAAACACGTAGTAGGCTCAGATTGGTTAGTTTGGGCTGGTGTGTTGTGATTGGCTAAACTGTCGCTCATGTTGTCCTGAAGGTTAACGCCCATTACCTTTACGGGCGAAATGTGAGCTCCGGTCCAGATGTAAATATGTGTCGAACTGCAGTATCAGTTTGAGCAGAATCAGACAGAGAAAGCGGCGATGAAGAGAGT